GATTCAAAGAAGATTAAAAGAATCTATATATAATCAGTGAAGTAAAATCATTTTTATTTATTAAGAAATTAAAATAATTATACTAAAAATTACAAACCAATTTTATCCCCTGTGGGTACAACACTAAATGTGACAACTTTAAGGTCAAATCCCTCTTTTAGCCACAGCTTGTCCATCAGACGGATCATCTGGATTACCAACATGTCCTGGCGGAGGTCATCTCCTACCTGTGTAAGATAAAATTAACAGGTCATCATCTGCTGGGGTAAATAAGAAAATATAAATGTCTTTAATTGCAATGGGTGCTCAACTAACCATGAATAAAGGGAAAGGGGTGAGTTTAAATAATCAAACAGTTAAATATGTCAAATTTTTTTTTCTTTAGTTCAATACATCACACTACTGGTTATTATTCTAATAACACTGGACAACCATAAGGAATTTCTCATGGGAATTTCTGACAGACAAGTTTCAACCATAAATTACAATGAAACAATTACCAGTTATTATAAATTATAAAAATCATGCTAATCCAGCTTTTATAAAGTAACACAGATTCAAAACAAAACAAGTGAACAAGCCCATAGAACTATGGAAAGTAACTTCTAAGAAAAAAAAAAAAAAAACCTGATGAAGATCAAACTCAACTAACCAGGTTATAAAATTTACAAAATAAATTCTACTGGACCCTGAAGGTAAATGCTAATAATACTGAAAGCCAATACTGCTCTGTACATTATTATTATTATATTGAACAACAATGGAGTAGTAAGTTGGTAGAAAGCAACCACTCAGAGAGGTACTACCGTCCTGCCAAGCGAGTGTAAAACGGAAACCTGCAATTGTTTTACACATGGTAGGATTGCTGGTGTCTTTTTTCTGTCTCACAAACATGCAAGAGCTCTGGTATGCCTTGCTCCTTCTCCTTACACTTAGGTCACACTACACATGCATGTACAAGCATATATATACACACCCCTCTGGGTTTTCTTCTATTTTCTTATTAGTTCTTGCTCTTGTTTATTTCCTCTTATCTCCATGGGGAAGTGGAACAGAATTCTTCCTCCATAAGCCATGCGTGTTGTAAGAGGCACTAAAATGAGGGAGCAAGGGGCTAGTAACCCCTTCTCCTGTATGTACATATTACTAAATTTAAAAAGAGAAACTTTTTTTTCTAATTTGGGCCACCCTGCTTCGAAGGGATACAGCTAGTTTGTTGAAAGAAGAAGAAAACATGCACCGTTTCAGGTACGTCTTGCTACTTCTACTTACACTTAGTCACACTACACATAAGAACATGAGAAACAAGGAACACTGCAACAGGCCTACCCTCTATGCAAGGCAAGTAAAATTCCCCCACCGGCTTAAGCCAATGCCTTGACCTAGTGGGGTCAGACACATCACTTAAGGGAGGAGCATGGCATCTGACCTAGTAGCACAGGCTAGTCAGGTCCAACTCACACCCACTCATGTATTTATCCAACCTATTTTTAAAACTACACAACGTCTTAGCTTTTATGACGTATGCAGGAGTTTGTTCCACTCATCCACAACTATTACCAAACCAGTGCTTTCCTATACCTTTCCTCAATCTGAATTTTTCCAGTTTATAGCCACTGCTGTGAGTCCTGTCTAGGCTAGATATTTTTAGCATGCTATTTACATCCCTTTATTAATTCCTGTTCTCCATTTATCCACTTCAATCATATCCCCCCTCATTCTACACCTTTCTAGAGAGTGCAGATTCAGGATCCTCAGTCTATCCTCATAAGGAAGATTTCTGATACATGGGATCAAATTTGTCATCCTCCTTTGTACATTTTCCAGTGCATTTATATCCATTCTGTAATACGGTGACCAAAACTGCTCAGTATAATCTAAATGAGGCCTAACCAAAGATATATAGAGATGAAGAACAACCTGAGGACTTCTATTATTTATACTTCTTGCTATGAAGCCAAGGATTCTGTTAGCTTTATTGCAATACTTAGGCACTGTTGTCTTGGTTTCAGATTACTGCTAACCAAAACTCCTAAATCCTTTTCGCAATCCGTAATATTAAGAGCTACATTATTAAGTTTATATGTGGCATGGTTATTTTCCTGTCCAACATTAAGAACTTTGCATTTATCTATATTAACTGCATCTGCCACTTCTCTCACCACTGCATCAGTCTATTCAAACCATCCTGGAGTGCTCTAATGTCCTCATAAGAATGAACTGGACAGCCTATTTTGGTGTTATCAGCAAATTTGCTTATGTCGCTATTTTTTCCTCATCTATGTGTTTATGTAAATTTGAAAAAAAAGGGGGCCCCAACCACTGCCCCCCCTGGGGGGAACCCCACCGTCTTTCTTTGTCCCCATTTTGATTTCCCCCCTTTTACGAAAAAACCTCTCTGCTGTCTATTTGTAAATTTTTCCCTCTCCCAAAGGGAAAAAATTTCCCCTTCTCCGTTTTTGCCTTATTTTTCCCAAAAAATTTACCCTCTGATGGGTGGGTGGGGCCCCAAGTTCTTGTTCTTTTTTCATTTCCACTTTTTCTCCAGGGGGAAAAGGGGAACAGAATTTTTCCCTATTTAAACCCATGGGCCATCAGGGCCCGGCCCTAAAATGCTGAGAGCAAGGGGTAGTAAAACCCTTTCCTGTATATTTTATAAATTTAAAAAGGGGAAAAACTTTTGTTTTTCTTTTTTGGGCCCCCCTTTGCCTCAGGGAAATATGGCCTTTTTTGGTTAAAAAGAAGTTTTAAAAAACAAGTGCAAAACCCCTTATGGCTTATACAAACTGCTTTGTAAAAAAAAAATAATCTGAGTTTGTAAAAAAACTTACAAAAATTTTTTTTAAAGGACAAAAAAACCTGTCCAAATGTCAGGGAAATTGAATAATTGATACAAGTCACATGCACCCTTTTATATGTGTCTACGGGACAAAAAAAAACAAACAAAATAGATAAAATTTAAAAAAAATTTTCCCGGGAAAGAACATTAGCCCAGCCCTTTTCCCAAGAGACACCCTAAAAATTTCTTTTTATTAAAACGTGGAGCGTAGTATTACCCCTGTTCATCTTGCATTTAAACCCTTTCCAATAAAGTTTAAATAAAAGGTTTTTTTTTGTTAAAGCTGGGTTTCCCAAAACACTTTTTCATCAGGAATTAGTAAAGCTGAAATTTTTCAAAAAAATTTGGGGCTCACAAATATAAAGCCAAAAGGAAGATTTCCTTCCCAATCCAGTCAGTCCGTAATGTAAATAACTCTTGATTTCCCCAAAATGGGTGCCCCTATTTATTTCAAATTGCGACAGGAAAACCCATACCCAGCATAGGCAAATTTTTCTTTTCTTTTGTCTTAATTTTGGAAAAAAAAATTGTATAGACACCAAAAAATTTCAAATTCTTACCTTGAAAAATGGCATGAATTGGATCAGAAATTTTTCTCCGAAAAAGAGGAAACCCAGCTTGGGGGGAAAACAGGGGAAGGAGTTGAAGAAAGAGCAATTCTCACATAAAACCCCAGAAATTTCCCATGGTTGGGGAAAAAAGGGGTTTGAGATGTGGGCTTGCCAAAAAAAAATGCACAAAAAATTGGGAAAAAAAATTATATGTTAAAAGGTATAATTTTTTTTTCTTCAAAAAAAATTCACATTCTGATTTTTGTTATTGTTTTTTGGGTTTTTAAAAATATCTTTAAAAACCCAAAACTACCCTGTTGGGTAAAATTGGAGGTCGCATAATTGGGGCATATTACTTTTTTTTTTTTTTTTCAACAAGTCGGCCTTTCTCCCACGGGGGAGGGTGCCCCAAAAAAAAGAAAAAATTCCCCAAAAAAGGGAAAATTTCTTTATCACCCATTAACCCATTTTTCCCCACACTCACACATTATCACTGTTTTTGCGGGGTTTGCTCAAAAATAAAAACAGTCTAGAACCCATACACATTTTAAAGTTACACAAAAATATCCCCCAAAAATCCCAAATTTACCCCAAAAACCCCCCTTTAAAGTGCAGGCATTGTACTTTATTTCCGGGGACTAAAAGTCCGACTATATAAAAAATAACCTTTTTCCCTAAATTCCCTTCCCAAAAATTATTCCCCTGCTCACACTCCAACAGATCTTTTCGGGCCCCAAGTACCATTCGTCTCCATTCACTCCTATCAACCGTCACGCACGCTTGCTGGAATTTCCAACCCCTTTGGGCCCACAAAACCTCCTTTACCCCCCCCAAACCCCTTTCCCGAGGACCCCCCTACCCCCCCTTTCCCTTTCCCCAAAATAAATTTAAAATTGTTTTTCCATGTATTTTTACTTTGACCCCATTTTTAAACTAAATGACCAAACCACCTCAACAACCCTCTTCTCCCCCTCTGACTAATATTTTATTAACCCCACACCTTCCCCTTAATTTCCACACCCCGGGAATTTTTTGCATAATATTTCCCACCACCTTTCCCCTTAAAAAGGACATCTCCACTGCCCCCAAACCTTTTCTCCTCGTGTGCTTTTACCACCCAAAGGGCTTCACCCCCCATTTAAGAGTTTTGGTACTCCCTATACTTTCAAATTCCCTTCTTTCCCTTTCCAAAAGGAAATTGTTTTTTAAACTCCACATATCCCTTTCAACGCCCCACTCCCCCTTTTTTCCCTCATCAATTTATGTTTAACCCCCATCCTTCATAAATCCTTTCCGCCGCCGTCAACCCCCAAAGAAATCTGAAAAATTCACTTCTTCCATACTCCTCCCCAATTTGAACCCCAATTTTTTTATCAAAAATTCATTTGACCCCTAAATAAACCTTACTCTTTTCTATGTTCATTTTCCCTTTTTTTCTCCCTTTTTTACACACTTTTCCCAAATCACCCACTAACCTTTGCAATTTTTTTTTTAGAATCCCCATATAGAAACAGTATCTCAGAAAAAATTAATGTTAAATCCTTTTTTTAATTTTATTCCCCAAAATTTAATCCCAAACCCCCTCCCCAAAAACCCCAGCTTTTTCTTCCTTTACAACCCCATCTATAAATATATTAAAAACAATGGTGACATTACACATCCTGTCTAAAAACCTACTTTTACCCCGGGAAAATAGTCTCCCTTCTTTACACACCCTAAACCCGAAACCTTCCCCATCCCCAAAAACTCTTTTTCGCATTTAATAAAAATTACCAAACCCATTCCATTTCTTGCAAATCTGCCCCCATTGCTCCTCTATCCACTTATCATTTGCCTT